CTCCCAGCACTGAGAAGCTGGGTTTTACCAACAACAAATCCAGCCAAAAGTCAAACACACAGCTTTCAATTCCAACTCATAGCAGCCCTATAAAGCAAAGTACAACTGCCCCTGTGGGCTCCCACGGCTGTAAATACAGGAGCCAAGAGCCTCTTCTTTCTCCTTTGGAGCAGCTGGTGGAGTCAAAGTGTTGACCTGTTAGTTGGCAACCTAGAGAATCATTCACTTCTCCATCAGGACTCCTTCAGCAGCAAATACTTACATACAATAATCATCTTGTTCCAACCTTTACTAGTTTTCATTCCATTGAGTTCCTTTTACTTGACCTTGAAACCAAATGCTGGGGTTGCCAATAGACACCCTTGCCATCTTGATAACAGTCCACCCCGGAGCATTTCTGTTGACAGAGGACTCGAAGGACAGGCAGAGGAGTGGGAATAGCCGGTAATGAGAATGCACTTCCTAAAATAGCGTTCCATTTAGTGCATTCTACAGAACAGCTTGCCAGGAAGGAATTATTGCTTCCAGTGACTAGTCACAAACTAAACAGACCACAGAACAGGAGACGACTGAGTTAATTACGATGATGCACTCAAGGGAGTAACACGCAACTTCTACAAAATATGTTTACAGTGACATCGAGACCTGTCTGGTTGGAAAACAAGTAGATCCCAGAATGCTACAGGTAGTTGAGCAAAAACTTATTTAAAAACGTTAAGCTACTTATAAGAAAAAGGAAGGGCATACCACAAATGTTGGCAAAACAGGTTGCTTCCCCTTCTTTCTATTATTTCTCAAATTTTCTCTCCTTGGCATCTTTGTTTTAAAATTGGGCGTGGGAGGTGGGGAGGGAAATGAAACATCAGGGAATAATAATAAAATGCTGCTGGTTAACCAGTTCAGTATCAGAACTGTTAGCCACCTCTTTCTTACAACTTCTTGTGAGGCCTTAGATTAAAGACTGTGGCTTATGTTTGTATGTGAGCACTTAAAAAAATCATACCTATATTCTTAGATATGGAAAATAAGATCAATCAGTCCAGGTTATCAATTATAAAAATTTGTGTGTGTGTGTGTGTGTGTGTGTTCTGAACAGAATCTTTAGATATCAGGGATTTGTAGAAACTGATTATATGATTTCTATGCTCATGCTTCAAAGGAATATTCCCTAACATTTAAATACATGATGGCAAGATAACCTTCTTAATGCTCTTTCAACACAAGTTCTGTGAATGGTAACAACTGCACAGATCAAGGTGAGCTTGGGGTGTGGGTCTGGGCTTCCACCAAGGTGTGGAAGAGCATGGAAAATCTCCTCCTTTGCCTTCCTGGGAAGCGAGGTGGGGTAGGAGTGGAAGATACCGCCACCGCTGGTCATTTACCCCTTCTGTTCCATCTAAACATTACTTTAATACACCGCTAGACCACTTTAAGCTCAAAAATCTCAAACACATTGTCAGTAAGTTATTTTAAACTCAAACCAAGGTAATAAATATAACAGACAGACACAGTAAAGCCCAAATTACTAAATTAAATACAACTAGCCCTAGCGGTATAGTGGGTACACTTTGGACTGTGATCCACATGGCTGGCAGTTCAAAACCACCAGCAGCTCCTTGGAAGAAAAACTGGACTTTCTACTCCCTTACCCAGCCTTGGAAATCCCCAGGGGTGGCTGTGCATCAGCACTGACTGGATGGCAGGAAGAGGAGGAGAGTGAGAGTCGGTAGCTTTAATGTAACCATATTTGTTTTGCAATACCTAGGCTTAGGCACAAATTTAACATTCCACAAAAACTAAATGTGTAAAAATAGAAAATGCAATTCAATAGTTTTAACACAATTAACCTGTAAGTTGCTTCATGGAAAATGTTCACAGGGTTCTTTTTCTGACCAAAACATTGGTCACCTCTCAGCTTAGTAGTCCTTCCTCCATTGTAAGTTGGGACTTTGTTGTCCCTCTCCCCAGCCTGACTATGAGTACTGGCACCCACAGCCAAAGCTTTACCAGCCTGCTTGGGCTATTTGAATGCCACTGTAGATTCCTCCCCTTGACAGTGAGTCTATACCTTGGTTTACATGCCCCCAGAAGAATGAGAAATAGCTGCATTCCTACTTTTAACTACCAGTTTGGAAAAATGTATACACAATCCAAATAATTGTTTGCTGGACAGGGAGAAAGAGAAATGAGGGGGGAGGTATTCTCCTTTTGGGTAAATGACCTTTAGGGCCCTATCAGACGCACTGTAAGAGGAAACTTGTGGTTGTACACAAGAGGGAACTAAAAACAGGTGGCAGGGTCACTGACAAAGTTAGATGGATGGAATTTGCTGGAGGGATACTGAGAAACTCACAGAAGGCACCATAAAGCTGGAGAACCAGTTTAGAAAAGAATCTGGAATCCCCTTGTCTATCTGACTGAGAACAAACTCGAGCCACATCCTAGGAGACCCTCATCATGAGAGCAGCCACTGCTTCCCCTGGCCCCGCCACCTCTGGCTACTCAGTGCCACAATAATCTTTAAATGCCCTGCATGTCTGCATCACCCACCGGCAGTGTTCAAGTTCTAGGGGAAGAGGAACAGTACCGCAGTTTCCATACAGCCAGAGACCTCCTTCCTCAAAGCAGGAGATTTAAATGCTATATGAGAGAGAAGGCAATTGTCCACACTGGTTGCCAAGTATCTCAACAGCTTCTTATACTGCGTCTCATGAGCCCAATTCATCCAGTTTAATAGTAAATAGTAAACATCTGGCCAATTCCCAGAAGTAAGAGAATCTGTGGGCTGTCTGTACCTTTGTCATTTGAAATGTGGAGGTTTCCACAGGTTAGCCAAGCAGAGATTACTCACAAGCTATTACTGAGTAAGGCAAGGTGTATGGGACGAGCAGGATGAATGAGGCCTGTGGTTACCTGCTCTCTAATGCTTTCATCAAAGTCAAATTTGCCTGACCTTGCTAAGAACAGCTATGGCCTTCAAGCCTCCTGCCAGAACAGACTACAAATTACAGAGTACATAAACCAGCAGCCACTGTCACCACCCAGACTGAAAGGAAAATATATATATATCAGAAACCAAGAAAAGGAGGTAAAGAATTATATATTTTTTAAAAAGCTGAAGAAGGAATTATGAGTTTAAGCAGGAATAAAAAGTGAAAAAGGTGGATAATTGAGGGGGAGGAGAGGGATGATAAAATTAGAGTGTTGATGTAAAGACCAAAATTCAATTGATAGGCACCCCAGAGAAAGAGAACAGGACGAAAGGAGGGAAGAAAGTGTTTGAAGAAACAGTGTAAGAACATATTCAATAGCTCACAGAACATATATAATGAAAGTCATTTAATTCTTAGATAAGAAGGAATCCGCGGAGCAGGAGCACTGAAATCTTAGGACTCACAAACACGAAGAAGAGGTCCCCAAACCCTGCACAGAAGAAACTGACCACATAAGAAAGGATACTGACACTAGACGTCCCAACAGCTGCTCGAGAAAGAGACTCGGTGATAAGGAAGCACACTGTAATGGTTAAGGTTGTGTGTAAGCTTCGTTGGGGCATAACTCTCAGTAGTCTGGCAGTTAATGTCATGATGCAGTTGAGCAGCTGGGTAATGGCAAAATTTGGCAGTTATGTAATGATGAGATCATCCTCCGTGATGTGATCTGATGAAATCAGCCAGTTACGAGGGGAACTTCCTCAGGAGTGTGAGCTGCATCTAATATATACATACACATTCTCTCAAAATATGCCCACTTGCTCTGGATCCTGCATCCAATCCAACATCACTGACCTCTGGGGTATGCATTCATCAGCCTTAAAGATGGTTAGGAATGAGTCTCACCGCTAACCTGGAGACTGCCTACCTGCGACTTCCAAATGAGGGATGAATTTATAGGCAACCCCTGAGTTCTGAACAAGAACAATGTGTCTTTAAGTGCGTTGGAAATCCTAGTGGTTTATTTAGAGATCTCCCCCTAGAGATTCTGATTCATTGGGTTGCAAATGAAGCCAGGGATTTGTAGTTCACCAGATCCCCAGTGGTTCCGGTCATCAGCCAAGTTTGGAAATGTAAGCTGTCATGCAGGAATGGAGCCCTGGTGGCTCAGTGGGTTGAAAGCTGAGTTGCTAATAGTTTGAAACCAGCAGCTTCTCTGTGGAAGAGAGACAAGGCTGTCTGTTCCCATCAAGATATCTGGAAGACCCCATTTCAATTCTAGGGTTCAAACGAGTTGGCAATGGCTTGGGTTTACTGCAACCATGTAACAGCATGAGAAGCAAGTGAAGATGATGGTGATACAGAATCTGTGTCAACTAGGGGTTGGTTCGCTTGTTTTCAAAGTAGGGAGGTGGGGAGTGAGGGCAAATTACATAACATGAAATGTGAAGTAGGAGTCGTGTATTTGTAACCCAGGGACTGCCTGCCCAGGTAGCATGATAGAGGTTGATGAACAAGCAAAATCCAATGGTAGCAACTACATTAAGGTTGCTGCTAACATTATGTATTACAGTTGAGGTACGACGTCCTTAGTGGTACCTCAGGTCACAATCCTATTGCTCACTGTGAAGTGATGCAGAACTTGAATATATTTTTTAAATATGTATTTTTTCCAAGGGAGCTTCAAAAAGTTCATGGGAAAATAAAATTTATACTGGAATTTTCCCATGAACTTTTTGAAGCCTCCTCATGCATGCTTGAAAATGTCCACAATATAAAAGCAGAGCATTTCCTTTCCTGTCCTTTTCCAAGGCATGCAGAGAGACATGGAAACTGGTAAGCGCACACGCACCTGCGCTCACACACCACACCGCCATCCGCCACATACAGGCACACTGAACGTGACCTTGGGCTCATATCCCTCTCAACATCACTGTTTGATTTGAGGACAGACAGGCACTGGAGGAGAGGTCCCAGTTCTCACTGCAAAAAGCCTAAACATACTATAGGAGATTATGTGTTTCAAGGAACACCAACAAATGGTGTGATAATCCTCGAGCCACTCACCCCACAGTAACGGTCCCCATTAAAGATCTGAGGGGGCAGAGGATTGCCCTGAGCTGGCTTCTTTTCGGGGGGGATGTTCTTGTACATCCATTGCCTCTGTTCTTCTGACATGGTGATGTCCACCTCCTCAAACTCTATCTTGTTGGCTTCCAGAAACCGAACCACATCCTGCTGCTTCTTTTTGATCTGAGGAGAGAAGAACAAACACATAAGGAGAAATGATCATCAGGAACAGTGTGCTTGTATTCAGAAATCGAACTACCGAACATTTGATTTCTCACTGTCCGAGGTCTGCAGGCATTGGGCACTGCCCACTCACTAGATGGCCAACAGAGAACTAGCCAAGTCCTAGCACAGTGATTTCTTCCCCAGGATGCCCCAGAACTCTGGGAGCAACTCAGATTACCTGTGAAGAGCAGACCCTGAGGTGAGATTTATTTCGTTCTCAGTGAGCCAAAACTCACGCCTCCCCTCGGTCCCCAGGAAGGTGACATCTTACAGACATGAAAGGCCCCTCTGCCCCAAAGCCTGGGAAAGCCAGGTAGAGCTCATCTGAGACATGGACATCTCACTGACTCTCAGGAGCAGCAACATTGTTCTTCCCATCCGCAGCTGCAGCCCCGGTCTCGGAAACATCCTTTCATCAATGCACACAAGAACGAGGCTCTCCCCCGCCGGTGAGCACAGACAGCACACACCATAAGGCTCTCCCCGGTCGGTGAGCAGACAGCACACACTCTCTCACTTGGTCTATTTCTCAGCCCTTTTGTTGCTCTCCTGCTTCACCTTTCATCCTTCCAGTCTCCAGAAACAGAAACAAAATTAGACTTTCTAAATTTCATCTAGCTTATTAGTTTCCTGGTGCCTATCAAATAATTCAGATGGGTGACAATATCCAATTGTCTTAAACATAGTATCTAAAACAGGGGAGGAAACAACTTGCTTTTTAAAAAATACTTCTGGGGAATTTGCTTAAAGAACAAACTGCATGAAGCAAACGAGACAATGGTCAGAAAAAAAGAATCATTTTTTGAGGTCACGCAGCCACTCCCTTTAGATGGAACAAATGCTGGGGTTGAAGATCGGTTTTACACAATTGATTCCCACCACCTCCCCTTCCTGTGCCCAGAAAAAAGCCTCAATAAGATGTGTCTTTGACTTAGAAGTCTGTTACATGAGATTCACTAGGAGATCTGATTGCTGGTTTGTTATCTATGTATGAGTTCCAAGATGGCCAGAAATTCTTAAAAACTGGCAAAATTCTTTAATTCATATTATCAAATGAGAAATGACTACAGAGTCATGATGCAGTAACTGAGCTGAAAGTGGCATTATCTCAGTTTCTTTAAGTAATTTCTTATGTCTGAAGAAGTTAACATTTTCCTCACTGATACACAATTTCAGAAATGTGTTTAATATTATGTTGAAATGACTTACACAAAAAGCCCATCCTACTTAAATTTCCTTTTGCTCTGCAGGATTGCATTGCTCCTATGTTACAAAAAGGACGCTGAGAAGGGGGAGTTACCGCCTATTTGAATCAAGGTCCTACTACAGCTAGTGTGTGTTCTTATCAAATCAAGCACGTCATTCCCCTGCTTCACATCATTCAGTGGCTCCCCACTACCCTTTGGAAAATATACTTAAATACTTAGCACAGCGCAAGGTGCTTCAGGATACAGCTCCTTTGATAATAAAGGGGAATCATTTGCATTTTAAAAATTCCAGAAATCATAAAACATAAAGACTAACTACAATTATTCCGCCCAGACCACCGTTGTACAAATGTAATTAGCAAAAATCATCAATACTCTCTGTCCACATGCAGAACTCTCGAGTATGGTGTCGGGCAGGCACAGAGCTGTTAACTGCAATGCCGTGCAGTTCAAACCCGCGGCCCCTCCTCAGATAAAGAACCACTCTCTGAGGATGACCGGGCAGAAAGGCAGGAGCCAGGGTCCTCGGTGGCACTTGTCAGCTGTCACCCCAGCCTTTCACACGCTCCTCGAACTCTTCTGTCTGGGACAAACCCTCTCATTTATGAAGCCACTTTTTCTAAGTCTTCTGTGCCAGATGTGCAATTGCACTGCTGCCTACGGACGGAATTGTTAACTGCCACTTAAACTGTCTTCAGAAATACTATCCTATGGTGAAGGGCTGAAAATAAAAGCTATTGGCAGAAGAGCCTTGCGATACATGCCATCGGAAAGAAGGGCGAGCTAGTAGAGTGCATGTGTCTCACTGGATACACATATACCATTTCGTTATTTTCTCTGTAAATCAAGTCAGGTTGTCGGGCCCATAACTGGAAGCTTCTCTGCAAAAAGGCAGGCAGGAAGGTGCACGTCATCTCACTGCTCGAACACGGGCCATTCACATCACGGCGGAGAACTGAAAGTGCGCAAACCTGGCCTGCAAGCCAGATCTGGCCGATTGACCGTTTTTTTGCAGGGCCTGACAAGATTTTTTTTTAATGGTTGAAAAACAATCAAAAGAACAGTATTTAATAACATGTGAAAATGATATGAAATCACACTTGAGAGTGTCCACAAATGAAGTTTTCACAGGCACACGGCCATTCTTGCTGGTTGATGCGGAATCTGGTCTGCTGTCTGCGCTACAATGACACAGCTGAGCAGCTACAAACGGCCAGGTGGCTCCCCAGACCCACAGCATTTACTGGTGCTTTTTCCAGAAACTGTTTGCCAACCCTGGGCTCCCTGGCAGATCTCTGCTTCTGGCTCAGTGTTGACTTTCTCAGGGTGGCCTCCCCTGAGCACCCCGTGTCAGTCCCCAGTCACTCGGAACTCCTTCCCACGCCTCGACAGTGCTTTCTTCACCAAAGCACCTGACACCTGACAGGTTGAACAAGTCAAAAAACACTGCTACAAAGTTACTGAAACCATCCTTGAACAAAAACACCTGAAGTAAAGCCATTGCTCCTTGACCATCCAACTCTATCAACTTCTTGGTGCAATTTCCCTGGCCTTTTCCTCCCCGGTGCTGATTTTCATTTTCTTAAAACTCCTTCCTAAGAAGCCCAAGTGATAGCTCTGTTGCACTCTCCCTCCCCAAGAGATCTTATGCTCTTGGATTTACACCGGTCAAAACAGCACTTTGGACATCCTCTAAGGCAGTGGTTCTCAACCTTCCTCATGGCGCGGCCCTTTAATACAGTTCCTCATGTTCTGGTGACCCCCCCTCCCCCATAAAATGATTTTCATTGCTAATTCATAACTGTAGTTTTGCTACTGTTGCGAATCGGGCGACCCCTGTGGAAAGGTGGAAATCAAGGAGTCTCACCTCTCAGACTCCTCC